AGTAGGCTGAACCCTCAACCCTAAACCCCTAAGCCTCTAAACCCCATGTAGTAGGTACTGATCAAGGCCTAGGTGCAGGTACTTGTAGTAGTAGTAGTAGTAGTAGTAGTAGTAGTAGTAGTAGTAGTATAGGAGGAGGAGGAGGGCGAGGAAGCGGATGGAGAAGCAAAAGGAGCAGTAGTAGCAGCAGTAGTAGTACTAGTCGAAGTCGTCGTCGTCGTCTGCGTCGTCGTCGTAGTAGCGCTCTGGAAAGTGTGACGGAATGTGGGGCCGCGCTTTTCGAGTAAAACAGCTGTTTTGCACTGTTGGAGATAATCTGAAACTCAAAATCTGAGAAACGCATGGCTGGCTCGTATAGGCGGGTGACAAATCCAGCCTTAACTTTAGAATCAATGAATGGGTTGTTTGCAAACCCCGAAACCCTAAGAAGGGGTGGGTGGTTCCTCAAGACCCCAAGGCCCAACGAGGGATGACTGGGTCCCCAAATCCCACAACGGTAAAAAAATGGTAAAAATCAATGGCAAAGATGAGAAGAGCAGGTTATGCAGCAAACCCTCAACCATGGGAATGACTGGTTCACACAAAGCCCAACCCCTGGCAAGACCAACGGAGTGAGTGGTTCGGAAGCCTGGCTTGGGCAAACTGCATAACCCTGAGAGGAGATGATGGGTAGCTGGTGACTGGGGTGCCTGGTTCCCAAGAAGTCGAAATGGTACTAGGAGATTCTGGACGGAAGGCTCAAACAAAGGACATGATGGATGCCCAAATCCCAAACAAGGCGGCTGGCCCCAAGACCCCAAACTCCAGGTGGCATACCCGAACCCGCGAAGGAGTACCCGGTTCCCAATGCACCCCAGTGTCTGATGAGACCGAAAACCAGAAAACTGAAACAACGGCGATGGATGCCAAACCCGCAAGCCGAAAGCATAAACGGGTTGGCCCCTAATCTCAAACCATGAAAGACATGCCAGCTTGGGAACATTGAATCCTCGACGGGGTCGGTCAGTGGGTCTGGAAACCCCAAACCCTACTAGACGGAAATTTTGCACCCATAAAAAAACAGACAACACTCGGAGATGTTGCATCTTAAACCTAATACCTCTACAAGGGGGCCAAACTCAAATCCCTAAGTGGGACCCCAAACATGTAGGTGGCAGAAGAAACTTTGAGAGGGGTGTCTGTTTCCCCAGTGCGTGATTGGTTGCCATCGCGTCCAAATCCAAACGGGAGATGTTCGACCTAAACCTAAAACCTCTACGCAGATGACGGGTCCAAACCGTACAGATCCTGCGGAAAACCTTAAGGGAGATGATGGATGGAAAGTAACTACTGAATAATTGTTTCCAAAATCCAAGTTCTGACAAGAGATGATGGATGGCAAATGCCAAGCCAAATGATCGGAAGCAAACCCTCAACCAAAGACGGGACGACTACACCCCGAACCACGAACCCTAACAGGGACTGATGGGCGGCCAACATCCAACCCCAAGCAGAATTCTGGATCTTGACGCCACTTCTTAACAATAACGGATGCAAACTCAAAACGCTCAAGACAGATGATGAGAAACCTTCAGCTCTTCATGCTGTCCCAATAATATACAAACCCTCTTTCCAAAACCCCCTCTGCCGGGTGCCACGCCTCAAACCCGAAGAAAAAAGGAATTGCAAACCAAAACCCTAACCCTTCCAAACTCCGTTAAGAGATGGTGGCTGGCAGACCCAAGACCCCAAACTTTGAAAGAAGATTATGGCCTAAGCCCACACTGCGTGACTTCTTCCCAAACCCGCCATATTCCCCAAACCCATGTAGGAGACACTCCAGGGTAACGAAAGCCCGAAAAATGAGCCGAGCAGGGAATGGGCGGGACGACGTGTCAAGCGAATCTTTATGCAGCACAGCACCGCCATTAAGAATGAAAGCTTCCAGGGCACATTGGCATTTGCGGGCCAACCCATGCCAACCACTTTTCTGCTCCTAATGAATGAAGGACATGTTGTCATCAAGGTGGTCAAAGTAACCGATGCAGCAAACTGTCTTTGCGCGTCACCTTCGCAACAACTGTCAGCATCTAGCAGCAGATGGTTGCCTAGAATACTCTGAGCACGTCAATGACACTATGTCCACCCACTGGGAGGCAGAAAGCTGGGAGACGAACCCTTCGGCCTCGGCCCCAGGCCACGGCTGAAGACCAGTTTCAAAGGGCACTGGGCTGGGAAGCCGGGACGCAAAAAACATAGGTGTTTGCCCCGCCTCCTCCCCTCCCCCGTCGCCGCCAAGGATGCCCCTATTTAGGTACGATCTAATCTAACTGTGCTTGTTTGCGTTCGTGGTGATTTGTTTCCCATCCTGTGTGGTTTTGGGAAGGTGCAAAACACAGGCGCGTATTTTGTTGCTTTGAGTAGCAGCATCACCAGCAGCAGTGGCAATGGTGTTGTTGTTGTTGCTGCTGCTGCTGGTTTTGTTGCTGCTACTGTTGCTGTTGCTGCTGCGGCTGCCGCTGCCGCTGCCGCCGGCGCTGTTGCTGCTGTTGCCGCTGTTGCCGCTGTTGCCGCTGCCGCTGCCACTGCCGCTGCCGCCGCTGCTGCTGCTGCTGCTGCTGCTGCTGCTGCTGCTGCTGGCGGGTGGGGGGGGGTGGCGGCGGCGGTGGCTCTTGCGTTTATGACGTTGCTGTTGTTGATGCTGCTCCTGCCGCTCTTAAAGATGCTGCTGTGGATGTTCATATCTTGCTTATCTCCTACCGCTCTTAGTTAAACTGACCACGTTGCTCATGTTGTCAACGTTGTGATTGCTTATACCCTAAACCCTAAACCCTACACCCTTCCCTCAACCCTCGACCCCTGACATCCTGAGATAGCCAAACCATTTTGAAATCATGGGTCTGTTACTACGACTTGGGACAGCTAACCCTCTCGGTGGACACGCAGGGTCGCGCGCCGTTGCGTGATGCTCATACTGATGATGAGACTGCGGCTGATACCGACGGGTTCCTTCTCTGATGCTTTCTTTGTCAACACGCTTTCGGAATGTCTCCTTCTGGTTAACTTCTGGGTAACAACTCAGGATCAAACGGCTTCAAGAAAATCTTCTTGCAGCGTGGCTGCACCTGCGGAAACATAACCTTTCATGAAGCAGGACCATTTGAAGGATTCCCACGTCTCTGGCCTGCATTCGGCGGAGGGTTGCTTTAAGCATGCCGAACGCGTCTTCGCCATGGCCAGTCTCCACCGCCCGACAGAGAATGCGATCCACCAATTTCCACCTTGAACGGCGCTGGGCTGCATGTGACTCTTTTCGCCTTCTGTCCTCCCTCTTCTCTCCGCTACTCGCTTCACGCTCCTCTAAGCTCTGTTCACTGCACCAGGCTTCGCACCATTGAGACCATGACCAACCAACGCGCCACCAGCCCCACCCCGCCTGCCACTGGAGGGTCTTAGAGTCCTAGACGTCTCGGATTCGTGACACCATGTCCTTTTCGGAGTGAGCATGCCTGAAGCATGACGTCTGATACCTCCGTTTTAGCGGGTTTTGATCGAAGTCGGACTGTGCAAGCGTAATTGTTGGGACTGTTTTGTTTGCTATTTTTATGCCTGCACAAGAATTCGCTTGAAAAGCAAGACAAGAATGCAAGGTTATGTAATCGTAACCGTTGCAGCATCTACTCGTAAAGCTGACGCGACGAACATCATGTTCCTGGCCGTTGCAACAACCGTAGGCAGTGAACTCGCAGCAACAGATGCAAGTTGAGGTTGCTTCTGAAAAGCTCGCCAGAAGTGCCGTCTTCCCCTGAGGAAACCAATGAAAGAGGAGCCAAGACCTCATGCGACACCCAAGAGTCTCACATCGAACTTTGTCCGCTCGAAGTGCCACAGCACACAGGGACAGACAGGACTTTCCAGAGCTGTGGATCCCTTGAGTCATCGGAGTCCAAACGCTTGATCAGGAAGTCCTGAAGCTCTTCGGGCGTGGGGCAGAAATGCGACATGAGCGAAACATGACAGCTTGGGACCCCTTGGATCCTCAACCTGGCTCATCTTGAGGCGATGCCCCTTGGAAAGAGCAGCAATGGCTGCTGCAGACACCCGTGCCTGCAATTGGCGAGACTTTCCAAAACCGAAGACGTTCACCACTACACCAAGTGATCGGCTGCATCATCCAGATCAGCTCCGACTGGAGCGGATGCAAACTCCAGTAAGTTGCTCAAGAAGGCGCTGCCCGCCTGCTCTGAAAACATGACGGGGTAAAAAGATGCAGGTGAAGGACGTTCTCTCGAGACACTCACCTCAGACCGCAGGCTTTCCGGCAGTCCCATGCGGGACCATGCCTGCACTGCTTCTCTTCTGCACAGATGGAAGGCCAACAGTCTGGATTCTATGGTGCAACATGCCTCCTCCCAGTGCAGAGGCTGGGAAGCCACTGCCAGAAGATCTCTGACAAATTGCCTGCACAAACTTCAATTCGGTATGAAAGTGCGCTGGAGCAGACCGCCGCAGCCTAACATTGTCCGCTTGGAGCCGGCCGTCGACTTGACAAGGCTTCTCTGCCAAAGCCTTACAGCTCCAAGATATTCCAGACGTTGCAGATAAATGCTGCGCACAATCATGCCAGGCAGACCCTGCAAAGCTCGTAAACCTTGTCGGCAGCTTCTGCGTCAGCTTTCTTTTGCAGCGCACGTGCTTCAGGCTTCGAGTTCTCATCTTCGGATGTTGAAGATGACTCTGCGTCTGGGACCAGGCCTTTTCGTTCCGGCTCGGGCGACTTGGGCCCTGGACTCGAGTCCTTGGGAAGTTCAGGGTGAGCCCCGGAAGGTGGAGCCGACGATGGTGTCGATGCCTTTGGAGGAATTGCACCAATCGTAGCCGGCGCCGGAGCCTGTGGCTTTGGAGGAGCAGGAATTGCACGAATCGCAGCCGGCGGTGGCGGTGCAGGAGGCTTCGCTGAAGGTGGTGTGGGCATGGGTGCGTCCGGGAAGAGTGGCCGTGCCCGTGTCGGCGGGGTCGGCCCAGCTGTGACCTCCTGTCCTTTCCGTCTCTCCAGCAGGGCCAATTCCAGAGACCGCGCGAAGAAGCCCAACTCTGCGGGGCTGAAGCCTGTGGCAATTTCTGCCAAAGCCGACAGAGCTGCATGCCGTTCAACAAGATCCACAGGGAGGCTTGCCTGCGGGTCTCAGCAGTGTGGCAGGAACCAAACACACAACTCCGGCTTACGTTCTCCAGCTTCCGCCTCACTGAAACTGGCGTAGCGAGCAGGAAGGCTTTGGAAAGCTTCCTCCATGGCCATGAGAGACGGGCGCTACAGTGTACCGACTGGTCCATCTTTGAACCTTCCCCCTTCGTCAGTGGGTTTGTGACCTTGCCTCTGCACTTGCGAAGAGGGGCACCTGGCAGTCTGAGATGACTTGACCCGCTTCATGCCAGTTGCACGCACAACCAGCCCATCTGTTCTGCGAAGGTCAAAGGTAGCACGCATAAAAATAAACGGTCAAACCTTAACAAAAGAGCGCCATCCACCCTAGCCCTAGAGCAGCTCTTCCCAGCCCAGTGCGCTTCACGCCTTGCTTTTCTGACGAACAAGCCCTTTTCTGGCTTAATTTGGTGCTTAGGCGCACAAGCGTCGCGTTTGGCTCGAACTCCACACACTAAAAAAAGGAAAGGAAACGCTACCACCTGAATGGGATGTCGGGTAGGCAACCCCAAACCCTAAGCGGAGATGTTGTGTAGAAAGAAACCCTAAACCCGAAAGGCAGTGTTGGGCCCACAATCTCGCAAACCACCCTAGCTCAATCCTCTCTCAACCCGAAACTCTGGCATGCATCTGACCTGGTCCTTGACTCATGACCAGGTGCATCCAAAGCTCGCATGCCCTTGTCCTGAAACGACCTCTGATGCCTGAAACACATAAAACCTAGTACTGTCAATGCCATGGTCAATGCCATGCGGCACAACGCATGCCGAGTTTTGCCAGCAAAAAATGCTGATGAGCAACGAACAACAGTGTCAGGAAGTCCCGACAAATCAGCATTGTCCCAACAGATTTGCCAAGAGTATCGCATGGAATGTGAAAATGTGTTGCAGTTAGGCCTGCCAACGGAAGTATGTTCCACCGGTTTCCTGTGGAGGCTGCCGTAGAAAAATCAAAAATAGAACGAGAATACTCTAGACTCTAAACTCCGCTTTCTACTTTCAACAGGTGGAAGTCTTGGCCTCTACTATGAAGGCGAGGATGATGGTGCCACTAAATCATACGCATGATTGCAAATACGAAAACAACACAATGACATCGTCGAGGACGTCTCCCAGAGCCTCTGCACTGGCGCTTGCTCTGGACATGGCCACCCAGTTGTGTGCCAGCGATGTCCCGCCCTCCGATGGTCCAAGCATCGAAGCACCGAACTTCGTTTGAGGTGAAGCAGCTTGGAAGCGGACCGAGCGCTGCGCAACGAACTCCTGAGCTCGTATAGGAGACGCGTTGAAAGAAAGCAACGTGATGCTACGTGATGCTACGCCGGCTCTATGCTTTTTAAAAAACCGGGGCTCTCGCTTCCAGGCCCCCGCCGCCTTGCGTTGCATCAGGCAGTTCGCTTCGGAGTTCAGAACAGATCCGAGGCCCTCTCTCAGCTTTCCATTCCGTTCCTTCTTGTCCTGGCACGGGGGGACAGCACCTTTGCCTCACACAATGTACAAGAGAAGATTCGGCCTTCTTGGATCTGGACTTCTCCTTCTTCTTCTTCTTTACCTGATGCCTCTTCTTCCTCTTGCTAGACTCCTCACAGGAGGGAATACGGCATCACAGACCAAAACATTGAATTTGGTGGAAGGGTCCGCCTTCGAAGCGTGATACAGCAGCAGTGCTCAGGTCTGTACAAAACATGACTGCAATCACGGCTCAAACGTCGAACCTATAGCCTCTAGCAGCAAGTCTGGATAACATAGTACCGGCAGTGCGTGTCTGCGCGATAAGTGACGGTGAATATGACACGAATGCAACAACATCATGTGCACGCACCGTGAGCCCCAAATCCTGAACTCCGAGCCTTAAACCACAAAGCCTACACACGACCGTCGAGCATTCCTGACTCGGGCGAAGTCACAAAGGACTCACGGAACACCCTGCACTGCACACTGCATCAGCATCTCATCAAGATGAAAACTCGACTGCGCCATGACCCCTGGTTTCGAGGCATGTACTTGAAGATCGTGTTCGAGGTAGGAGGAACTTAGATGCAAGATGCTCAAACTTTTAAGCTGGCGTCGATGGTGCATCGTTTGCTTTCGCAGACATCAGAATGGCTCGTCAGCGATCCGATGCGCCCAAGCTATGCATGGCTTGTTGGCGCTGCACGCAACAGCACGGGAGCTCCGCTTCTGAGGCTGGCAAAGGATTAATTTGGCCCTTCCTTATGTGCTGACCCACGCAGGTGCTCGACTCGATTTTGGCAGAAAGGACAAGATACTTCTTTTCGTTGAGGAAAACGACGCAGCTCGCTCCCAACAGAGAAAGCCTTGCTGCAGATCGGTTCGACATGTCTTGAAGCCCGTGAGATCATGCCCACGTGGGAGAGGTTGGAGGAAAAGCAATACACACATCAGTAAAAATGGACAACTGCTTCCCCATGCGCTGGCCACGAGCAGCAGCCCTGGACTTCCGTGTGAATGCAACAAGACAAGAACCACGCCTTCATCTTCAAACGGCGACTGACTGCCTGCTCAGTCGGCCGGATGGATCACACACAGCAACATGCGCAGTGCACGACAGGATACAGAAAGGAAGTGACACGGTCAGCTCTGAGTTCGCTTCGCAGACTAAACCCAAGATGAGTGGGTGCCATTCTTCTCCAAGCGATCCGATCCATGCGGCGCAGGAAGCCAGGTTTCTAAGAAAAAAAATCAACAAGATTAGTATTTTGAAAAAATCAGCTGAGCTGCAGAAAAGAATCCCTGACTTCACGGTCCCTCATCTCGTGTTGTCTCAAGAGCATCATGTAGTAGGACTGGACCAGCATTGCGACCTACCTGCCTGCTTGAACAAGCTTGGCATCGCGGAACGAGCTGACGTCAATTTACTTGACTTGGGATGTTCAAGATGTCCTGCGGGCCGTGCAGGTTTGCGGAACCACCATTCGCCATGGCGATTGCCATCCGCTGTGAAGCATCAACTTCCCGTTCGGACTCTTTGATCTCCTATCTTCCCAGTGACATACACAGGGGGGCTTCAATCAACGATATGCTGACCTGCTTGATCTACAAGTCAAGTTGGCACTTTGAGCACGACGTTCGTGAAGAAGCAATGGTGAACACGAGAGGACTGCGAATGCTGGCCACAGATTTGAAGAAGCCAACCAAAGACGGGGAACCCGCACCTTGTCAAGTACACGACGCATGCAGTGCAGCTTGTTGACCAGTCCTGCCTGCAAGGCTGTGCACCTGCCGAAACTTGACTCAACGTCTCTACCTGCGGCAAAGTCAACAAACTCTCTGAACATGTCTCCGGCCTCGCATCTGCTTCTTTGTGAACAGTTGCTATGCGCCGCTCGAAGTCCTGTCTGCTTGGAAACAGAAAGAGCGACCCGTGACCTCTCTTGCCGTCTGAAAGCTGCACTTTTTTCGGCTTCGTGGCTTCAACGCATACTAAGCCGCGGTTGTGAATTCTGCCAACCTGCACAAAGAAGATGTAAAACTAAGCGAACAGCTTTCTGCAACGGACGGCACGCGACCTCCCGAGTAGCCTGCGGCAGAGGCTGTAGTTTCGCCTCTGCCATATATCTAGCACACTGCCCCAATGCTTGCCCGTGAACCGGAGGGATCAGCTGCCTCTTTGAACAGCTGCAGGCGTTCGTCTGGTGGGGTCAGTTGCCCATGCTGCGAAACTGAGATCAGCGATCCTCCTGTCGACAGCAACACATGACATCTGAACCGCGATGACTCCCCGAACAAGGCAGGTGGGTGGGACCTGCAGCCAATGCACGCCATGCCTGAATGCAGAAGATGATGAACAGTCAGCAACGGAGTTTCACAGCCGGCACAGACATGAAAGCTGAGACCCAGGGTTTTCTTGTGGCTGTCAGCATCCACATCGAGAGCGCCGGGATGTGGTGGGTCGCTACTGCTGTCATGATGTGTCACGGGCCAACGGAATCGGTATCTTTGAAGATGGAGACGCAGGCATACGCCTGCAGTGTAAGATAGTGAAATGTGGCACGGCTGGCGCGCAAGAGGCGTCAGCTCAGTAGGGTGCCGGGAGCTAGAATGCATCATGGCAGGCCTGCAGGGGTGGACGTTTGGTGTTTATTGTTGTTCATTTATTAGCCCGATAGGCGAGCCTACTGCACCCCTTGACGCCCAGTGCCATGATCCTAGCAACCACAAGCAGCGCTAAGCAGGCGCTAAGCAGGCGCTAAGCAGATGTTTTCACTGCCGCAAAAAAGGCTGGGGGTTTCCAATCCGCCTCTCCTTCTCGGCCCCCGGCTCTCGCAGCCCGGCGCAGCCCCCAGTTTGTCTTCTAAGCCACTTTCGACATGATGCGCGAAGCCCTCACTGGGGATCTCAGTTTCTTCGGATCTCAGCTTTCACAAATTCCCAATCACCGAACTCTAAGCCTCATTCTAAGCTCTGCAGCTCGTGAAACCATGGTACACATGGATGCGCCACAAGTTCTCAGACGGGCACAAACTCTCGCTGTCCGAATGTGTGAGAAGTCCAGCAATGATAATGCACATGGCTGTGAATTCCACCCACGAGAGCGAAAGAATTCAACGAGGCCTCCGTCAGCACCGCATGCACCTGCTGCTCGCCCAGCCTGCAATTCGCAGTACGGCTCACAGTATTCTTTTTCATTAGCGGGCCGAAATCTCAAAGCCGGCATATTGAAACCTCGTGGAGTGAAGTGCGTCCAGAAAGCCTTTCCTGAGCGCTGCTAGGTGAGATGCAGCGAGAATTTTGTGGCATCCTTGTCTCAGCAATGCACTCGATGATAAGATCGAAGTAACCGTTACGGAAAGGAAGCCTGGCAAAACACGGGCCGGAGTCGGAAATTGTGTCCACATCTAGAACTGCGTGTGTCTGTTGCAAATTAAACACACACTCACACGCAGACTCACCTGGCCGCATCGGCAACCACAAACAGCAATCGAGATTGTCCAGGGGTGCCTGAGCACGTGCATGGAGAAGCAACAGAAAGTTGAAACATACAGGTAACTGCTGAGCAATCGACGTGACTGCATCACCGTGCCCTGGCACAAGACGGCAGTAGCACTATTCTTCGATGCTACATGGCATGAGCATCTGAGACCGGCACCCTCTGTCGGGCAATGGCTGCCGCAGAGGCATCACATCCCACAACCAAGCGTGGAGCGGGTCTAGCATGTGCCAGCTGAACAGGAAGACGAGAAGTGCCTCACCAGCACATACGGGAGCTTGGCAGGCAGAGTCTCAAAAAATTCAGTCCGGGCCACCACATCCCAGATCAAGGACACGTCGAGCGCTGTGCGTATCCAGAATAGGCCTGAGATCCTCGCACGAATGCGACGCTTGGGCAACCGCCCCTCGTGACACATCGTGACCCAACCTGCAAGTCCACGTTGTACCACTCTAGGAACTCTCCTTGTTCTAGATCACCGAAGACTCGATCGTAATAATCTGGCCTCGACGTAATTACGATGCCAATCGACACTGAGTGCATGCATTGCAGCTCGCGCATCGCCTGTCGAAGATACCTCGCTGCCTGGCGATCACGGCAGAATCGCCTTTACCACGAAACTTTCGCACCACGCCTGCCCGCGCCAGAACAGCCAAGAGAGAAGCCATCCCTGATGCATCGTCGACCGTGCTGCCTCATGCTCCGATATCAGCTCTCTAGCGGCTCTAGCGGGATTGAAAATCATGGTGGCAAGCACGGTGTACCGCGCACAACTTACAAACATATGCCTGATATGTGAACCAAGGAGCAGCTGGATGCTGAGAACGTACTTTTCACATGCATGCAGGTTTCCTTCCTACACCTGGCTGTTATTCTGCTTGAGATAAAATTACCACAGGCATCAGAAGCATTGGTGCACCTCCGCATGTGTTGGTACTTTGAACTTGTGCGGGATCACGAAACCACAGTCCTTCTCGCGCAAGTCTGTCTCAATTTGGCACCGCTTCTGCACATCCTGCAGGCACGAACAGCTTGCTTCACCTTGCTCACGCACCGCCACCCAAGGACGGTTCTACGCGAGCTTCGATTTTAGCGAACACTGTTCTGAACAAGATCCGTTCCACGATTGCCTCCAGTTGTTCTTCTGCCTTCCCCTTCTGTCGAATCTGCGAGTATGCAGTATGCAATCACAACAGTGGATGTGCTGAAGGTTGCTGGGGCCAATGCAGCTTCGCTGACTTTGTCAGTAAGCTGGTTGACCTACCGATGCTTCCCACGACTTCCGTGACACGATGAGTGGTTCAAATGTTCTTCGACCTTGCCTGATCAGCCAACTTCCGCGATGTCTCCTCGGCTGCCTCCCGAGCTTTGGAAAGGCCGCGATTCACCTGTCGGGCACTCGGGTGACGGCCATGGCCATGCGCCGTAATTTCGCTGGACGGAAGAGAAAAGCTGCTTGAAGCTTCACTGCACTTCACTTCACTCCGGCGTCCAGGGAGCTTGTCAAACTTCCCACACCGAAAGGTGCGCCCCTTCTGTGAGGCCTTGTGGGGGAACTGAAAGCTACTCCCCCGAAGCTCGTAAAAAGATATGGTTGGCTTGCACCCGGTAAGCACACTGCACAATATGTCTCATGCCCCCTGCGGCTTCTCACCCCCTACCGTTTCCCTACATGTCGACCAGGGCAGGATCTCGGAGAGTGACTGCTGGTGTTGTTGTTACTGTCATGCTGGGAGGGAGAGAGAGAGAGAGAGANNGGAGGGAGAGGGGGGGAGAGGGAGAGCATGACTGGCTAGCAGCGGCTAGCACATTGCCTCCCAGATCTACGCTGCCTGGCTCTCGAAATCTCGCTCTCTACACCGGCGCTGCATCGCTCCCCCCCGCTCTTGCTTACTCTTCTGCTGAGCACATGACCCTTGTGCCTCGCTTTCCTTCTGCACACGGGTCAACATCAGCTCGCATCGCTTCTGCGTATCCTCACAACGACACAAGGACGCCGGAAGCACGGATGTCATCGCAGTCCTGCAGGGTCTGTCGCATCGACTCGTAGCTTCGATCTGGTGAAGCCCTTGCCACTACGAGGCCCGGTCATCCACGCCGATCCGCTGAGAACTTCTGCCCGTGGCATGTAGGGCCGGCACGTGCCAGACAATGCAGCTGCCGGTAGCATGACCTGTACACTTCTTTGCCGAAGCAGATCCTGTAGAGTAGAAGCGGAAAGCAGCTGCACGATGAATCTAGCCGCTTAGCACCTGTGTCTTTCTTTTGAGCGCTTTGCCCTTGTCTTCTAGACTGCAGGGATCTTGGTACACTGCACCGCATACGAGAACAAACCTCGTCCACTTTCATGATGCAAGCTATTTGAGGCAGAAGAACAATAATCCGATGATCGGACAAGTATTCTTCGAGACTGTCGCTTCCCGATGTTTTTGTATGGTTTATACTGCAGCTTGCGCCATATGTTGTGGCCGAGTGCCATCCATCTTGGAAGACACTTTTAGGCACAACCATCACATCTGAAGCTGATGAGATTTTTGGTGAGAAGAGAAGCTTTTGCAGCTACTGGCCACCTTTGTTTCCCTCAAACTTGGAGTCGGGGGCCTGGGCGAATTCTACCAAGACAAAAACTCTCGCAGACTTCTTGCTCAGCAGCCATGTCGTATCTGAGATCAACACGATCGACACCGTCAAGCCATCTTGTTGCAGCTTCACGCAAAACTGCTCTGCCAATGCCTGTGAGAATCTTCCGCTGTTGGGGCAACAAGGGACGATGAAGGTGCGTATTTTCGTGAACTCGACTCGGCCTTCCAGACGCAAGCCACCGTTGCCTTGCCGGAACTGTGGGCCTGTCGCAGCATGCTGCGAGCAAAACCGCAGCTGCATCTTGCAGACGTGACATCTTTTCTTGTTGATGCAGAATCGCCCTTTGGGATTTGCAAAGTGAAACGCTCAAAGATCGGCTCAGTGACTCACATGCAGTACAGACCGCTTCTGCAGCGAGACGCTCACACAGAGTCCTACTTTGAGGAATCCTTCAGTGCCTATACTTCTGCATGGAGAACGGAGACGTCTTCAGGTCTTCTCAGACTCTACTCCACGGCTTTCGCCTTAGAAGGCATGCAATGAGCACGCTGCCACCAGACGTTGAAGCTGAAGCCCGACAAGACATCCACTTGTCTGGACAGCCGGGCAATGAGGCCTTGATCACTGCGTTTTGCCGAGACACCACTCGAAAGAAGTGTACACTGCTAACACCTCGCCTCGACAAGTGGACACTTGGACTGAAAGCGGACTAAGCTGACATGCCTGCAGGCCGCCTCTTGTCCAGCCATCACAGTTTTCATGGAGATGGCTCTGCATTGGATGAAGCGGCCTTCCCTTCTTCAAATGGCTTCTCGCCCACTGCCGTATCTCCCGTGTTGGGCTCCTGACAATTCACTACAGCGGCAGACTCAGAGCAAGGCTTCAACATTATGGCCATGCTTCGCAAGGCTCACATCTGAACCCCACTAGGCCCATCTAGGCCCTTTCTGCCACTCTGCTGAGCATCTGAATCGCTGTGCTGTCCCGACCCGACCGGTCTGGCCAGGGGCTACCTAGATATCCCTTGCGGACTCTGTGATCTCCTGTCACCAAAGGTCCAGTCACTGAGAACAGAGTAGATAAATAGTCAGCATCTGCGAAGGCTTCCACTAGCATGCAACTACAGGCACCACCGACTGGAAAAAGATTTCCGCTCACAGGGTTTCGGGCAACAACGGCGAAGCTCCTCTGATTTCTCCAGTGACTGCAGTGCAGCAGCTGTTGCCTCAGGACATGTGGCAAAAGCGGAACGACCCAAGAAATTTATAGGACGATAAAGCAAGAACAAGGCAGACATGCGAGGCCCACGCCGGTGCACCCACCTCTTGCAGGAAGTTCTCCATGTGAGCGAGTTGCTTGTGCAAGTTGGCATTCGTCCTTGCCACTTCTTCGAGCTACACGCCGGCTTAATCTGCAGCCACATGCTGGCTGTACTCTCTTTTTGCATGCCAGAGTCTGCTTGAGGGAGCAATGCTTGGAAGGCAGACTTTCATCGATGTTGGCACTTTTGCGCAGCCACGCAATCATGAAGTCCTGGGCTTCGAGCCGAGTGATTTGACCCCCACTCGGCACATATCCGACGGCAAATTCCTGAAAGAGCACCGTCTGCGATGTTTACGGGACCCCGTATCACATGTTATACATGGCCACTTCTTGGCAAGCATCCATAGGTCTGGCCGGTGCTTTGGCCTGCGCTGCTCCAACAGCCCAGCTAATACAAGCATGCAGCATCATGCCACATCCGGATTGTAGAAAGCATGATATGTTGTCTCATCGACGCAGGGGCAAGTCATGGCCGCGCTAGGAACAGAACAGCGAAGCAAGCCGAACTATCAGGCTGCTTCATGCTCAACTTGTACCGTCCTGACCAAGGCATAAACAGTTGTCTTGCGGCTAGCAAACAATGACCGCGGCAACCATCTTCTCCAGCACAGGATCGAGATCGTTGAGAATGAATTCCTGAACTTGGACGAAGTATCAGCTAAGCTAGGCCTGTCATGCCTCTGGCAGATGCAACCTACTTTCTCTTGAGCGTGCCTTTTTCTCCGTGCTGAAAGAGAGTGCTTCAACAGCAACTCGCGCAGACGACATGGCTCTCCGGCTGGTCTCTGTCCCTTTAGATGGTCCGCGTTAGATTTGGTTTGGTTTGACAGGTAGGCGTGCTTGAGAATGTGGTTGTGATTCTTAAGAAAGGCTTGAGCAGGATGAGACAAGCCCAGAGACATTGACGACAGCATACAAAACCTGAAGTCGCATATTGCACTGGCAGGTGGCGTGCCTCCCAGGTGATGCCATAGGCCTTTCGCCGCGAGAGGTGCTGCACCACCTGCACACCCAGTGATCCACATGTTCAATCAGCAAAACACCTTCTTGCCTTCACTAAACAGTTTGTGACATACTCAAAAGTGTGGATGTCGTCGTTGTGCAGCAAAACTCGCCACCACCTGCCAACAAAAGCCGCATGCGGTGCATCAGGTCTTACTCGCGGAGGTGCAAAAAGGCCGAGAATCTGACTTCTCCTTCTCGAACTGTTCCTGCCCAAGCTGAGATCCATACAGAAGTCAGGATGCGTAGTCAGCGAGATGCACAAGCCCTTGTGCCAGATGTTTGCATCTGCCTTCATCTGCGTCTTTCTGTCGACCTGATTGCTGGGCCGGTCAGCGACAGCAGCGAATTCGGATTACAACGTCCCGCCTTCTCAATGACTGCAATGCCAGCATCTGGAAGATCTGGCTGCATCTGAGCCCTTCGGATCACTCCGAAACCTGCACCGAGCTGGCTTCTCAAGCCATTCGAAGCATGAGGCCTAGGTGGCAATGCTTAGATGATCTTAGATAGTATGCAGTGCGGGGGCCTCTTTGCGTTGAAGTCGAAGCAAACGCCACCAAGCCCTCGGCAGAGCAAGGCAATCAGCACAGCTTGCTATCAGGATCCCTGCCTCCATCACACACATGGTCAGTGGGATCCTTGACAGCTTGCAGATGTCTATCGCCAGTCGGCCTGGACCCCGCACCCGAATCCCTCGAGGCTCGAGCAGGCTGAGCAGGCTCCAGAGCCGCAGCCTCTTGGAGGCACGAAACTTGGCCTCCGCCGCCTCAGTGCTGCACAAAGCAAACCAGTTCTGTTCCTTGAAGCTGTCCCACTCAAAATCGCACGCTGCAAAGCACGCCTTCACGTTCCTATAGTGTGCCTGCTCAACAACTTACGCAGCTCGAACACCAAGAGCGACAGAGCCTCGCACCATTTCTTCAAGCAAAACTCCGCCGTGCTACACAAAAATCTGCAGCCGAAATGTCACAGCCGGTAAAGATCCGGAGTAGGGAAGGGCTGCAGAACTAGCTGCTACCATATTTCTGCGTGCGCAGAGACTATCGACGCCTGAGGTCCTCGTATGCGAAATGGAGACCTCAGCCATGTGCGACCGACGACGCCAAACTTGGTCACAAGCATCCACTGTTCAGTCTTGCAGGTCTAATTGGGTCACACACGCTTGGGCTGCACACCCTGCATCTGCAACAGTGCCTGCCAAACCCCTTCACGACGATCTCACCGGCTCAAACGTTTCGGATGACTGTCTGCTGCCTGCAACCTCCTGCTCCAGAGCATCTGCCAGTGACAAGATTTGGTGAACCTTGGCCGGAAGGGCCGTCCCTTGCACCCAGAACTCCCTGTGCTGTCATCTTCGGCGGCAGCGCACAAAAACACCTTTTGGTAGCAGTCATTCTTCGATGGAACAGGAGACAAGGCCTGTCGAAACTTGTCGAAACCACTTTTTGGCAAAGCTAGGGCAATGCCCGAAGCATCGCCAACATCTTTGAAGTGATCCGAAACTTGCTACTCTTCAGAACGTCTGGCAATGACGGTGATGGCAACCATGGCGAAGACCAGCAATCCGCTGCACAGGGCAAAGGATTCTTTTAGCCTGATCAGATAGTGCAAAATGAAGGCATGCAGTCTTCAGACTGTTTAGGGCCGATGCAAGAGCTGGCATTATTTGCTAGCAAATGCAAGTCGCTCCAAGTCTGCGAGAAGGAGAAGCACCACACACAAGTTGAGCGGCACGCGATATACCTTCCAAGGCCAGGATCAGTGCCAGTGCCAGCGCTCACACTTGCGCAGACGAGGAGCGTTGTAGACGCCGGCTCGGGCTTCTTCTGGAACCACTGCGCTTTTCACAGTGCTGACGCAAGGAAAGTATGCTCCAACCTGAGCTCGCGCGATGCATCCGCCAAACTGGGCCAGCGCAAGCAGAACTTAGGGCGCGACGCATGCCTCGAAAGCTAGAAAGCCCAAGAATATTGTCATCTCACCTGGTTCCAGCGACAGGAACTAAAGCTCTCATCCTCTGTCCGCCTCCGTGCTTTGCTGCAGCAATTGGCGGACATCGCAATGCTTCATGAAACACTCTGAAAGGTCAACGGAGGTCACAGGCTAGTTTCCAAGGATGTTCTTAATGTGTCAGTACTGCACTGCATTCGGTCATTCAACTCGTGCTTGAGGCATCGCTTCCACCCAGCCTAGAGCCAGAAGATTGCTCTGCCAGCGTCTGGTCTAGCAACCCCGTCGATTTGTTACGGCATGGCATGGTATACGATAACGTGAACGAAAATATTGCATCCAATCACGTTGCTGAGTCAAGGACGATGACCCAGTTATAAACATCCAATGTTCGCTTCAGGTCTTGTTCACGCGATGTTGGTGCAAGTAATTAAGGCTGTGGTGCTCGACAGAGCAACTCATGTGCCGAATATACCCTTCATGATTCAGGGTCCAGACTCCTAAGCGACAGAGATCGACAGCTGCAGGAGATCCTCCCTGTGCCAGCTATGTGCTGACATGGGACCGTGTTGGACTACATCTACCCCGCAACTCCAGCCGAAACCCACAGCTTTCTGTGCAGGTTTTGCGAATCATCTGGCTGGGTCGCCAAGTCTCTCATTGCACAACCGGGACTGGAGAAAGAAGGCACAAGAATTGACTCGTGATAGCGATTGATATGGCTAAGAGCGAACCGATCAACTCATGAGAAGATAAGCCCTACCTGCGTGCAAACTCTAGGCTGCAAGGCATGTTACGCGCGGATTAGCATGCAACTGGGTGACTATACGTCGTATACAATGATGCCGCAACCAGGCCCAAAGCAGCAGCCGCGCAAAGACAGATCGGAATCAGCACCTGGCACATCAATCGGACGTCGCCACGGAGTCCACACGCGCACACAGCAGCAAACTTAATGTTTCCTGCCTTGGCAGGCTGCACTGCCGTGTCTAGCAGGCTGAATAAGGACGATCCGCACATACAAGCCATCCTTTCATGCAACACATTGCAAGTCGCGTCGGCACGAAACCTGAAACACAGCTGCTGCACGTTGCATCCCAGGAACATGAATGCACTAAAAATCAATCCATGCGGTGGTGTGGTCACAGAGCCAGAGTCCAGCGCCGGTGTCCAATTAAAAACGAAGGCATACCTGTTGAATTTGCACGGAAAAGCTTCATCTTGCACAGTGAACAAAGAATGGAAGCCTGAAAATCCGAAAGCTGGGCACATCGAGCTCTCGAACGCTGCCACCGCCAGGCCAAGAAGAGGCACTTGATAGTTGGAAGAAATAGCTCGCCAGCCTGCCTACAAGACAAGACATGAAATTCATTACAACACAGTGGCCGTGCCTGCAGCGATGCCGCAATCTGGGCGAGACCTTCACCTCCTGCAAAGCGATACTGTAGATATCTGTAGATGAAGGCAAATGATTGCGAGTTGCCAGCGACTGGCATTGAACACTTTCGACTGCGGAATGTCTCGCATGGTTTGGCTGAGTCACCGCTGCCCTCTTCGGAGGATTCACCGTAGTTCTCCTGACAATCAAATTACCTGCCGTGCCCGACGCAATGCCAAGCATCAGCCCCTGCCTTCCACAAGGAGCAGATGCAAGGGATCGCCACAACGAGGAACACCAAAGATACATCAAATGGAGTTATCGCACCACCGTACCAAACGATCTCTGAGGCTTGTGTCAGGGGGACGGCAGAGGCGGCGAACTGTGCGAGCAAACCTGCCCCGATCGCAGCCAAATATTGCACCTCAAGGACAGTCATTCAACGCCAACTGGACCCGATATGACCCGATACACCATAAGCTTGAAGCAACTGAGTGCACTGCGAAAAACATCAGCCCAAACATGTACCGCAACAAGTCGTCGGAAAACCCACATCGACGATGCTCACCAACCATCCAACATTCAAACGTGCTGAAGAGAAGCGATGTGGCAGCACCACCCAGAAGACGGCCCACCATAAGCACAGAGTATGTGTTCACATGTTTCGTGACACAGGCTGCGGCATACAGCACACAATAGAGCACAGCGCATAACTTCCTTCCCCATGCATCTGCTACGGACCCAATAAATGTTCCCGTGATCATGGAGGAACCGAAGCCTGCCACAAAAAGTCGGGCAATGTCGGCTTTGCTATAGCCATAGCTTGCATACAGCTCATAAACGTAGGGCCCCTGCAACCAGTCGGCGGTGATTGCAAGAAACCACACAAATAAATAACGCATCTGGAATTGGCTAAAGCCAGTGGGGAACTGCTTTGCGTCAGACGTAGGCCGAGTTTGCCATCCCAGCGCGCACGTCACTGCCAAGAGCGGCCAGAAAGAAGCCACATAGATATTCTCCAACCTTGGGTATCGGGTCTCCATGATGCCCGGGCAAAGGAACCCTCAGCCTCATGCTAAGTCCCGAACACTCCGCCCAGTCCACCAGGAGACACATCACTGCCATCTGCTGCCACATGCAGCGCCGCTGGTGAGAGCTGCGAGTCTTACTGGATCAAATTCCGAAGAGTTTGGCGCTACAACTTTCGGACCAATAGAATTTCGATGCTATGCCATTCTATGCGTGCTCAGAAACCAACACAGCTCAAAAATGCCAACAGGCAGCTGCGATGGGATGCAACAGCAGCTGCACTTGCCAGGACAAATGTTGCCTGGGTCACCGTTCTGCACAAGGAAAGCTACTGCATCCTGAGAAGTGCATCGCCACCAGGGCAGCCTGGTTACCACTGGCCGTCGACTTCTTCTCACAGCCAGCCGGCAAGACGGTCGCAACGCAAGCATGTGCCCCGAACTCTGCCCCAACTTCAACGTATCGAGCCAAAGCTGCGGCACGCAGTGCACTTCAGCAAAGGGTCGGGCCTATGCTAACAACGGCAGGCTTAGCTGCTTAGCGAAGTACGACTGGATCGTGGCGTCCCTCAACGGCCGCCTTGGACCAAAAAATCTGCACTTGGATGGCTGTTCTTCAGTTGCAAAGCGCCTTCACTTGCTGCCGGAAAAAGGACACGCCTCGATTGACCTGCATGTCGAGTCAAGCAGAGACAGCGAGGCTGACACAAAAGTCGAAGCCTTTGCAGTCAGCTGTGTTACGTCACGGTGCTCTTGAGCCCCGTCCTGTGACCACAAATAAACACGCAAAGCAACTGAATCAGTCTCGAATCACTGTCCGAAACTATGATCCCCTGTCCTCACTGGCCAGAACGTTGGGCCAAGTTGAGGGCGATCCTGTGGGCGGGGAAGCCCGCGTCAGTGCCAGTACCTCAAGAAATTCCGTGATGCACTCTGTACTTCGAAACAGCAATGACATGCAACAAACTAGACCCAAGCTGCTGGAGACATACAAACGGAACCGCCTCCATGAATCCTTAAGGCACAGTCATTCATGAACGCTGGCATCCACAAACAAGCAAGGCAAAATGACCACGAGTCTGCATCGGCTACAAAATGCACACTCAGAAATCCGTGAAAACTTTGCAGTTACACGTAATAGCGCTCCATTTCCAAAGTCTGCACACGTCAGTGATATGAGTCGACCACCCAGCGGGTGCTGCCATCCACGGCCACGAGCGATGTCACTTGGCTCGGGTATGCTTCAAATCTAACTGCTGCGCACATGTCGCAATCAAACAGGAATCCAACGCATCAATCTTGACTTAACTTGCTACATTGAAACTGCATCAACTGACAAACAGAACCAGCAACGGCTGCGATTTGCATGGGCCACAGCGCTCCTCGTTAGAGCCTCAAACTCAAAAACTCGAACCTTGAATGCTAAATTGCTAAACCACAAGCCCCAAACCTCAAACTCTAGAGTGTCCTGGCAGCTTGAAGAATCATTGCCGAGAGTCTCGGAATTACGGGCACCAGGGTTCCCAGCAGTCGAACCGCAAAGCTATGACAAGGTCAGAAAGATGTCTGCAGGTCTGAAGGGCCTCTTTCAATACTATGACGGCCTGCAGGCGGAAAGGTACGACGGCCAACTTTGCTGGCTGATGCGCAACCGCTTACCTGACTCACTGAACAATACGAAAGCCAACTTTGCTGGCTGATACGTACCTGACCTACTTGCAAAAACTCAGAAAAGCATTAACGTGAGACCACCTGTGGCAGCCGCCGTCTGCTAGGACTGCAGCTGGCAAATCATCGGCACATCGCCAGCATGACGACAGCCAAAGACAGAAAGGTCCCAGCCTGAGGGGCACCAGAGACGCCCATGCTTGTCCCATCGACAAAGCTCCATGCGTCGCTGATCATGTTCGTGGCCCCCGACCACCAAGGACTTCCTGCGGGGGGCACAACCTTCGTAGACTTCGGCATGTCAGTCGAGGCGAGGATGCCAAGCACAGCAGCGCCTGCCTTCTCCGGGCGGATGCTCCGGCAACGCAGCCGCTTGTTGTCACAAAACTGCCCGCAGCTTCGAATGCACCAGCGCTTAGAGGCTTGGCACTCCACACCGGTCACTACCTTCCCCTTATCGCAGTCCATGCGCTGCTGTTCTTCACTAAACCAGTCAGTCACGATAGGCTCCTCCGTCATGTCCACCACCCACTGCAGAGGCTTGGCACAGAGCAAACGGAGATTATCACAGTGCTTGCCAGTACACTCTACCCAAGTCACAGCCATTCCGTCGGGGCAGTCTGCGATCTGATCCTCAGCCTGGGTACCTCTGTTCCAGAACCAGCGCTTTCCAGTATTGTCTGAGATCCAGCCAGATCTCTCTGAGGAAGCCGCATCGATGGAGGCACTCATCTGGATCAAATTCACCGATTCGCAATACCTGCCAGCACAGCCCATACCAGTACTGACAAGGTTCGTCTTGGTCATTTCTTTGCCGCTCTGCGCCCATTCGGTGGTCGCGAAGTGGACGCATCGCCCAACGTCACCCCGGCAGAATGAGGCAGCATCCGTGCCGCTGCTGCGTTGACAACTTCCGCAAGAGCCACCGCAGCCGTCGTCGCCACACTCCAGGGAGAGAGTTCCACAAGCAGGGATGCACGCACCTGGCTGGTAGACTGCACAAGTCAGCTGCTTGGTAGCACATTGGGCCCCGCCACAGCGCACGCCCACGACAACGGTGTCGCCAGGGCACCTGCCGTCCTCGGCACCGTGTACCTGGGAAGGGAACCATGCAGTGTCACTCCTCGTCTCGAAGACAACCTTGCCGGCCTTCGGCAATGCACAATGCAGCTGGAATGATGCGCAAGAGCTACCCACACAAGTAAACTTCATAGCAATCTGGCCAACTTGACAAGCAAGATAATCAACGTCGCCTTGGAGCTGGTGGATGGTCGCCACAGTGTTGTGCAGTGCAATGTCCGCACGGTGACTAAGTCGTATGCTGCCGCAAAATTCTCCCGAGCAACCGACTGCCACCAAAGCATTTGTTGCTGCGACCCTTTCAGATCCAGCCTGATCGTTGAAGAATTGGGACCAAGGACCACCGCGGAAGATAAACTCTGTAGTCGTTGTCGACGTCGTAGACGCCACCTGGTTCGTTGTTGTCGTCGTAGTGGCCACCTGGTTTGTCGTCGTCGTTGCCAATGTTGAAGTGGTCGCGGCAGTCGTTGTTGTCTTCTCCCCTGCACCTTCGTACTCTGGGGCACCTACACTGGTCACAGCAAGGTCGAAAAGCATAAAGCCCTCGGTCGCGAAACCAGTATTGAGATTGGAGGCTAGGTCTACCTGACTGATTGACACGATCTTCTCCACAACGGCCGATACATTCTTAGCAGGAACTTTGAGCATGTACGACACCACGATGGGGTCGGCACATCGCACACGCTGCGGCGTGACGGCTGCTTTGGTTGTGCCGAAAGACAATGCCAGTCCGGCTCTCATCCCGTTTGCAAACTTTGCCGCCCGGTAAGAAAGTTCGGAACACTCCACTCCCGCGAAAGCAAAGGTTCCTTGAATTTTGACCGAGGTCCAATCCGTTCGTTGGGTGGATTCGCTCGACGGCGGGCATGGTTGGAGATCTTCTGTGGGTGTCTCCCAGGTCTCATTGAGCAAGCGCGGACACAGGACCACGTCCACTGTGTCACTCGCGGGATCTGTTGTCTGACCCTTGACCTGCATCTTGATGCTGGTAAAGAGGCGGTGGCTTTGCCTGTCCGTATCCCAAATTATGATGGTCGAACCTCTGCGCACCTCATGCAAAAGGTACGTCAGGGACCTTGACGTCCTGCCGTCGATTTCTGGCTGGAAGTGATGCACTTGCACTGCGTTTCCATGAAACCCTCCTTCCAAGTATTGATCGAAGCCCAGCGTCCCGCGCCAAGAAATAGTGAGTGTTGCTGGCACGACTGACCAATCTCCTGGGTAGATCGTATCCACATAAACCAGAAGGCCACTGGTGAAATCCGTCCCCACTGCTTTGAGCTTGATGGTAGTGGAGTCCACCCCAGCAAGGAGGTGACTCGCAAAGAGGGCCTCCTCTTGGTAGCCTGCAAAGCCTAGCTGCCAGGAGTGCAGGAAGTTATGGCACCGAGTTTCACAGCAGTAGCCCATGGCCGAGCTGGTGTCCATATACTCCTGACTGGTCACACTTCCGCTGGCATGATGGAGCACCCAGTTGTGGCCGATCTCATGCAGATACAATTGCGGGCACACGCGAACCTCCGAGTACCAGGAGGTTGTGCCGCCCAGTGTGCCGATGCCGTTGGCGGCCAGCCAGTTCGACGGCAAAATTAAGAGCTTGTAGTCGCTGTCGTCCCATTCAGGTACGCCTTGCAACTTTGCCTGGACGGCATCGAGAATTCCCAGGGGGCTGGAACAGTCCTCTGAGCAAACCTGCACCTTGTCCAGCACCTTCCCATTAAAGCTTACCGTGTTCCGAGAGCACACACCCATCACCTGGTTGAAGGAGCCCAAGCCACTCCCAAAGAAGCCGCTTTCTATCAAGTCCTTGGTCACCACCTGCAAGGGGGTACCACACACCTCCACCAAGACGACGGCTGCTGTGAAAACCATAGTGTTCAGGCGCCGTCCTGCAGGCCCGCCGTCGAATCCCTCTAATTGACCAAGCCTTGCCAAACTTGGCAAAATGGCAGCATTTGGCTCATAGTCCATGGCGCTGACAACGAAGACGCCTCTGGTGTCGGCTTCCTCCCACCTGAGACCCGCGGCGTGCTGGCGCGCAACCTGGGCTTGATCTAACATGCTGGCCTTGATCGTCGCGGCTTGGGCCGCATCCGCCTCAATGTAGCCGGTGATGTTCACACTGGCTCCGTCGTGCAAATCCATCGGAACATTGCTGCCTATGTTGCCACCAGTACCCGGGAAGGACACCGTTAGCCTCTCCTTCACAGAGTGTCCGGGTGGGACAAAAGAGACATCGACTCGCGAGTGCTCCGCACCAAAGGTATCCATTCTCAGCACGCGGACAGTGACACTGTACTGTTGTGCAGCTCCGCTGGATTGAAGGCGACGGAGATGTGGGTCCATTCCTGGTGCTGCTGTCCAGCGCCCTCGTCGCAATTGCATCAGCGGGTTGCTCCCTTCGGGATGTACCGCAAGCAACACCAGAGTGCTTAAGAAGAGCCTAGCCATGCAAGGAAACATGGCAGCTCTTGGGGCACTCCGGAGCTTCAGGAAAGCGTTGAAAAAATTGATTTGGCGAGTTTCCTACCACATCGGTGCATGCGCGTCTGCCGAGATTTGACAGGCTTGACTCATAGACTGTGTAAGGATGAATAGCATGTTGGCTGCAAGACGGGCTGCCAGATTTAGCTCCGACCCTTTCGCTGCGAATTTGCAATCCTGCATGCCGACTTCGGTGCACTCATGTCGGAACGCAAAATGCTTTCGTTCAGGATGGCACTTGCTGCCAAAGGACAACTGCACATCATCATCTTTCTGCCAATTACACTGCTGCTACAGCTCTGGAACTATGACTGTAAAGGGGCTCGGCATGCATGTACTCAAAGACAAACCGATGGACGACAAATGAGCGAGAGTCTGAGCATACCCGTCCATCATCAGCAAGCATCAGTTTCTCTTTGAGGTTTTTTTCTTAATCTTTGCTCGATAAACGGCACGGAAAGGTAAACCCTGTGGCGATGTTTGCAAGCACAAGGCTGGATTCAGCAGGTGCAAGTGAACTTGTGACTTGACCTGGCGCTCGATTTGCTGACGCGACAACACAACCTTGAAGAACAAGACTGGCCAGGACAGTAAAACCACCCATTTGCTTGCACACATTCCGAAACCAAGAAAATAGTGTAACTACAGCACATTTGCGTATAGGGCTTAATGTGGCAGAGGTCGTAACTTCAAGAAACAAACCGCTGCTATTCTGGCAATGAAACTGGACTGTGTTGGAAGCCTAAAATGGTCGAAATCCATGAATGAATAAAGTTGCATGCTAGTTTACGTGATTCTGGCTCTCTCACAATCATAACTTGTATGAACTTGGTACTACTGGGATGGAGACAAGGACATGTAGCGGCAAAGTTTTGAATGTCAGTACTCTTGTGAACCTTGTGACCTTGTGGTCTGCCCAGAAATAGGCGGTTTGCTGTAACATGGCCTGAACTGTACAGTGGAATAACGCATTAATGGGATGGAGCCACAGAGCCAGGCAATGATGGGGCGGCGAAGATTTTCAAATCAGGACTCTTACCAACCCTGGACTAATCGAATGGAGCTAAGGCCTGGGCGACCACTGTCTCATTTTCAAACAAATCAGAACCCTTATGAACCTTTTATAATATGCGATGCAGCCAAGGACTGAGGGGCCGCGAATATAACTTTCGACTCATTCGGTGGAGCCAAGGATTGATGGGGCGGTGAATGTTTTGAAAACAAAAAGTCTTCGCAAAAGACAAGCGGGAAGCCGCATCGGACAAGTTGGTCTTGGAGAGCACTTTTGAAAGTTTTAAGCCCAACCTTAAGCACAACTTCACTTCAACACTCGCGTCCGGACTTTTCTTACTTCGCTTAGGCTTGAGCCTAGTCACTAGTCAGAACCTGCGGTCAACAACGTGAGACACTAGGAAAACAGCATGTAGTGGAAATGAAATGTTTGTTACACCTCCTCGGATCAAAGGTGTTTTACCATTTTATCCGACGCAAACTTTCTCACTGCACTTTGGGAGACTGTTTTCACGTCCTTCGACGCTTTCAACAACTCCACTCTTTTCTCACGCTCCTTGTGGGCTTCTTCAATTTCTCGTCGTTGCTTGGGCTTTTGACTTTTCGGTGGCTGTGAGGTCGCCGTTGAGGTTGTGGTGGCGTCCTCCAAGGTAGGTGTAGTTGTGGAAACGGTCAAAATAGTCTCAGACTTGACTTCACGCGTTACCACATTCTTTCACTTTTGTCGCTTATGGCTGTGCTGTCTTCATTTCAACGGACTTCCAGTCTCACAGACTGTCTTCTCTTTGTCCATTAAAACACATACACATGCAACTTTTTCTAGAAAACTTCAGCAAGTGAAACGTGGTGCGAATTATTCCGGCGTGAAACTCCATTCCTCGCCGCACACGTGGTGCTTTTGTGAAACTAGCTTCGGCTTAGACTTACCGTCCCGGCCTTTAGCTTTTCTTGTGTGGCGCTTTGCGCACCTTGTCGGCACCTTATCGGCGCTTGCTCTGCTTCGAACTTTGATCACCCTTTCATACTGCTGGCGTCGCAGTTCACCGTTGTTTATAGTGCTGGTGTCGCACTCCGAAGATCATGTACCTTCGCTTGCTTTCGATCCCTTCCTTTCTAGAGATCATTCTCATCTACCATATCTTGTGATCTTTTCCTTTCTTTTCTTTCATTGCTTTGCTTCTCTTGTGGCTTTCGGACTTCCTCTTCTTCTCCTTCTTGTTTCTTCTCTTTCTTGTCCGAATGCTTTTCCTCCTTCTTGTCCTTCTTCTTTTCCTCTTTCTCCGATGGCTTGCTCGATGCGGACTTTGCTTCCGTACTCTTCTCTGCTGGCTTGCTGCTTTCGCTTTCCACTGCTTTTCCTTCATTCTTCTTCTTTCCGTCTTCTTCATCGTCAACAGCAACAAAATTGCTTTCGTCAACCTTCTGCCTTTTCGTCGGCGTCTGCTGTTGCGACCCTTGAAACCAACACGGGCTTTCGGTGTGCGTTCCCCATCCGGGGTTCACTTGCTTTGGGTTGTCCATCCTCTGCTGGTAGCAGAGTTGGCAGAACAAGGGCGTGCCCCTGCTTTGGCGTTCTTGTTCGCTAGGGATTCTTCCACAGATTTCCTTAGCCTGCTTGAACATATCCTTGCAGTTGGCGGCCGAGCGTCCGGTCTGCCCGCAGAAATAACACTGCCGCTCATAGCCCCCTTGCTGCCACCAACGCCTCTTAGGCGTACTTTCGTCCCATTCGGACTCTTCGCGCTGCTTCTTCTTAGGTGGGGGACCGGTTTCATTCCACCGACGTTCACCTTGTCTTTGCTGCTTGCTGCCGGACTTTCCTTTCTCTTCAAAACGTCCGGAACACTCTTTGGCATCGGCATAGCAAAGTAATCAATCTGCTGGGCTCTTCCTCAGCTTTTTCTTCGAAAAGCCTTCGGAAGCTTCTGTTGACGTCACATACCTTTCAGACTATCCAGAACGTTATCCACCATCTCCGTGGATAACAGCGTTGCTCTTTCGGAATCATCCAATACTTTCTTTCCTTCCTTTGTCTGATCAGCTTCAGACTCCACTTTGCTAGCTCTTCTCTTGCCACTTGGAGTCGTTCTTCCAACTTGCTGATTTCTTCTCTTTGGCTTTCAAGCTCACGGGCTTCTCTTTGGATATCTTCAGCAAAAATCTTCTGTGAGGTCTGCAGTTCGTACAGACTACGTTGGAGGTCTTTGAAAAGCCTTTGCATCTTGATACCAGGTCCGTCCTCCCAGCTTCCTGGCGGAACTTTAACGGTATCCTTAAACTCCTGCATCCTCCTTTGGATGTCCTTGTCGCTCAACAGACCGAAGTCTAAACTCGTCCACTCACTGTAAGCCCGTAAAAACATCCACAGACCCTCTTCTTCAGGGTTGAACTCCTGTTAGGATCCTCTTCGTCCTTTGCAGCATCTTCTTCTTTTTCTCCTTTCTCTGCTGCATCCTTCGTCTCTTCATCTACTAGCACCTCTTCGAACTCTCCGTCCCTTGCAACATCTTCCTCTTTTTCTTCTTTCTCTTCTGCTGCATTCTTGTTCTCCTTTTCTCCTTTGTCTCACTTTCAGATTTCGAAGAGTCGTACGATGATGACGAATCGCCATCACGTCGGCTCAAAAGCCTTACTCTTCTTTCCTTTGCAGTTAACTCCTCTAGCTGCTCTATCTTCTTATCTTCACCTGCCCTTATAAGTTGCACCGGCGCTTGCGCTTTCGACCTTTTCTTTCTCCTCCTCAGTTTTCGGGTCCTCCCGCTTTTCGTTGAGCTCCATCACCTGGCTCCTTGGTTTTCCCGAAAGCATCGCGAAGGGTTCTTCCGTGCAGAGCTTTTCAGAGAAGTACATTGGCAAGTACACAGAGTAATACTACACGGAGTGAAGTACATCGACTGAAGTGTAGAAGTGCATCGAGTCAAGTGCATAGTACACAGAGTGAAGTACATCGACTGAAGTGCAGAGCATCAAGTGCATAGTACACCGAGTGAAGTAGATCAGAGTGAAGTACATCGAGTGAAGTGCATCGAGTCAAGTGCATAGTACACAGAGTCAAGTACATCAGAGTGAAGTACATCGAGTGAAGTGCATCGAGTCAAGTGCATAGTACACAGAGTCAAGTACATCAGAGTGAAGAACATCGAGTGAAGTGCATCGAGTCAAGTGCAAAGTACACAGAGTCGATTACATCGAGTCAAATACAGAGAGTGAAGTACATCGAGTCGAGTGTCCGACTTATCTACGTCTAAACCCTACATCTCGGTATGTCTATCTTTCTTTCTGAAGCCGGAACTAGCACCGATGCCATCGATCGGGAACGCAACCCTTACCATGGATTGGTGTGGTTGAGTGCACAAACGCGAGGTAAAGCTGCTACGTTTCGGCGTGTTGGCGTGGTCGAACGCCGAATGCGAGGTAAAGTTACAACTTTTTTCCGCTACGCACACTTTGTCGACTCTGATTGCTACGCTTTGGTT